GCTCTGGGAGTGGCTGGTCATGCCCCAGGGGCTGTCGAACGCACCAGCAACGTTCAATCGTCTTGTGACGCAGTTGTTTCGGCCCCACCGGACGTACGCTCAGACGTACTTTGACGATATATTCGTCCATAGTCGTGCCGAGCACGGAAAGTCAGACGTGGATAACCACATTGACCACTTGCGAGCGGTGCTCGAGTGCATGCGCACTAATAAGTTGTATGCCAACTTGGACAAGTGCGTCTTTGGCGCGGAGGAGATACCTTTCCTCGGGTGCTTCATTGGGAAGCGTGGCTTACGGGCAGATCCTGCCAAAGTCAAGGCCATCGTGGACTGGCCGGTCCCAAGAACCAAAACGACTTACGCAAGTGGCTAGGCTTAGCCAATTACTTGCACAAGTACAGCGCGAACTACGCGGAGATGGCTCGGCCATTATCAGATCTCCTTAAGAAGGACGCACCATGGTGCTGGAACGTCGAGCACGACGGAGCCTTTGAGGCTGTGAAGGAGAGCTTTCTCCAGGCTCCGGTCCTTGCGCTGCCGGACCCGGATCGTCCGTTTGCGTCGTCTGTGACACCTCCGATTTTGCAATCGGTTGTGCTTTACGACAAGCAGACGCCGAAGGGCGTGAGCGCGCAGCTTTGAGTCTCGCCAGCTCAAAGCTGCAGAGAAGAGCTATCCAGTTCATGACAAAGAGCTACTTGCAATGAAGTATCTTCTAGTCAAATTCAGGGTACGCCTGTTAGGCTCTAAGCCTTTTGTGATCTTTACTGATCATGCGTCGCTACGCACTGCGACACAGTCGCTTCATCTCTCTCTGAGAATGGCAAGATGGCTTTCCTTCTTTGCCGAGTACAACTTCGAGGTGAAGTACAAGCCGGGGCGGCTTAATGTAGTGGCCGATGCGCTCTCGCGCAGGCCGGACTACGAGTTAGCTCATGTCACGTCAGTGACGTCGTCAGTGCCTGACTTGATACGCCGAGCGTATGCACAGGACGACGTGTGCGTAGCGCTGCTACGGGCTCTTGGGAGCGAAGAGTTTAAATACTCGAACAAGGAATTGTCTGGGCGCTTACGCTCGAGGCTGCATCGATACTCGCTAGATGGCGGCCTGCTGTACTACAGCACCGACTCTGAGGATAACCCTCGTGTAGTCGTTCCTCACGATGAGGATCTAAGGTATCGAATCCTCAATGAGGTTCATGATACGCCCGTGGGCGGGCACTTAGGTCGGGAAAAACCTATGGCTCGTGAGCTCGATGTACCGGTGCCCAGATGCATGAGTGGGCTGGCACCTATGTACGCACGTGTGAGACATGTCAATAAACAAAGTCCGCGCCGAGCACGGCGGCGGCCATTGGCGAGTTTTCCTGTCCCCAAGGGATGTTGGCAGTCCATGAGTATGGACTTTGTGTTTGGCCTTCCCAAGGATAAGGCGGGAAACAAGGGTGTCGTGGTTTTTTGTAGACCGATTGAGTAAAATGGCTCATTAAGCGGCGGTGCCGGACACCATTGATGGTGAAGGTACAGCTCAGCTGTTTTAGACCGAGTCTTTCGCCAACATGGCTTGCCTGAGGCAATTGTCTCGGATCGAGACCCGCGCTTCGCTGCGAGGTTCTGGATGTCCCTCTTCAGAGTGCTCGGCGCTCGTTTGGACATGTCCACAGCGGACCATCCGCAGACCGACGGTCAAACCGAACACGTGAATCGCGTAGTGAAGGATATCGTCCGTAGCGTATGCACTGAGGCGCCAAAACGCTGGAGCCAGATGCTCCCACTCGTTGAGTTCGCATTAAATAATGCAGTGCACGCCTCGACAGGCTACACTCCGTTCTATGTGAACGGCTTGGTGAGCCATCGCGTCCCACTGACGCCGCCACGTAGTGGCTCAGGGCTTGACGGGGTAGGGATCGCCGAGCGGCTAGCTGATTTCAGCCCTGTTGCGGTTCGCAAGCAAGTCGATGACTTTGTCTCTTTGAGACTGAGCGTAATGCGTGAAGTACGCGACGCTATGGCTGAAAGTCAAGACACACAGAAGGAACATACAGATG